TATACCAATTCTATTTCGTTATGGTCCATAGAGTACGAATATATTTTTAGTTTTTCCCTATCACTTCGTTAACTTACTTTTTAAGAGCAAAAGATGCGAAAAAGAGCCATTTTTGAAATTTTAAATTTGAAAAATCATAAGTTTAGTAGTTTTCATCCGATTTTCAAATCCGATATTTTTTTTTAATGATACAAGTGTTGCCTTTTAATCCAAAAAAAGAAATCCAAAATTTATGGTCAAATGTCTGAGTTACGGTCGTTTAAGTAAAAAACTCACACTTTTTTAAAAAATTTTCATTTTCATCATGCTCTACTTTGGCCATGAGGCAGTGAGTTCATCTTTTATTACTTTCCTGAAGAATCACATAAAGAAAGGTTTCTAAAACTTGTTATTTCATAAAAATCTATGAAAAACTGGATGATTTATGACAATTTTTCTAATAGCATGTTCCTCGAATTTTTGGTTTTCTCCATACAAATTAATTTTTGCATAAAAATGTTTATAAACATTTTTTAAACTTGTTACAAAGAAAACCAGAAACATGAACATTTTTGTATGGAAGAAATATGCTATATTTTTATAAAACTGAGCACAACTCATAACCTTTTTCATCGATTATCATAAATTGACCATCATTGGAAACCCAACTTAATGTGCCTTTTTTCAAATGTAATAAAAGCTAAAGTTACTGCTTCATGGCCAACGTAGAGCAGTATGAAAATTAAAAATTGTTGAAAAAGTGTGAGTTTTTTTACTTAAATGGCCGTAACCAAGACATTAATCATAAATTTTGGATTTATTTTTTTGGGTTGAAAGACAACACTTGTATCTTTAAAACAAAATATCCAATTTGAAAATCGGTTGCAAACTACCAAACATATATTGTTTTAAAGTTAAAACTTCAAAAATAGCTCTTTTTCACATCTTTTGCTCTTAAAGAGGAACTAAACGAAGTGATCGGGAGAAATTAAAAATATATTCCTACTCTATGGACTATAACGAAATGGAATTGGTATATGAGAACCCCTGCATTTTTTTGCTGTATCACTGTGTAATTGTTCGTCCGAAAATTGTCTTAGTCCTGGTTCATAAACCCTATAAAATATTCCCGTACATTGAGAATATTTAGTATTTCGGAGATGTTTTCAATTGCATGGTTTTAAATATAGAATGACTTCTAACATGATGTTTAATTTTATGATCGTGAGAGCTTTCATGTTCATTTCTCGTCAAGGTAGCGAAAAGGTTTCTTTATCAAGTATTGTCGACATGTGCTTAAAGAGTCATGTTTCTAAATTTTTTTTGCGATTGCATAGGAGTGAGCTGAGTATGTAAGCTAAGTTTTCGGGAAAATATGTGAAAGTTAGACTTCTTCGATGTTGTTGCGGAATGCGTTACCCACATAAAATATGACCTGAACTCTTTGCGAATGTACTGTGAATTTGGATCTTAAATTTGAATTTTAAAATACCTACGAATTATTTTACTGCGTGGTTTTGACTATTTACGCATAACGCTATGAATTTTCTGATGTTGATTTAATAATATTGAACAACAAAATTAAGTTAAAATCTGTGTATCACGTCGGAATGGAATATTTATATTTAAAATTAACTAGATTAACACTTTTGCTTACAATTTAAAAAAAATATGAAATGTGACCTAACTTCATATTCCGGGATACCAGTATCAGTATTTAATTCTAAGGCAAATCATTATCCGTCTGCTATAAAAACACTTATTTCGATTCATATACATTTATAAAAATTACAAATCACATAATACTTTACTTTATAAAAGTGAAACAATAAATTTGTAGGGCCTAGCTTCATCCTGATAAACGACCGAAACAATAAAATTCAAAGAGTCACCAACAAATCTGGGATTATTGAATAAAAATTGTGTATTTTAGTATTTATGAAAAATTTGGAGATATTTTTAATATTTTCTAACATATAGAGAATATTTTTTATTCATGATTTTTTTCGTTCGTCTTCGCGGACCCCCTAGGATTTTGCTACGGACCACTAGGGGTCCGCGGACCCCCTTTTGGGAACCGTTGGTCTAGTCTATAGTCTAGTCTATAGTCTAGTCTATAGTCTAGTCTATAGTCTAGTCTATAGTCTAGTCTATAGTCTAGTCTATAGTCTAGTCTATATTCTAGTCTATAGTCTAGTCAATAGTCTAGTCCATAGTCTAGTCTATAGTCTAGTCTATAGTCTAGGCTATAGTCTAGTCTATAGTCTAGTCCATAGTCTAGGCTATAGTCCAGTCTATAGTCTAGTCAATAGTCTAGTCAATAGTCTAGTCAATAGTCTAGTCTATAGTCTAGTCAATAGTCTAGTCAATAGTCTAGTCTATAGTCTAGTCTATAGTCTAGTCTATAGTCTAGTCTGTAGTCTAGTCAATAGTCTAGTCAATAGTCTAGTCTATAGCCTAGTATATAGTGTAGTCTATAGTCTAGTCTATACTCTAGTCTACAGTCTAGTTTTAGTTAGTTAGTTAGTTAGGTAGGTAGTTAGTAGTTAGTTAGTTAGTTAGTAGTTCGTAGTTAGTTAGTTAGTTAGTTAGTTAGTTAGTTAGTTAGTGTAGTTAGTTAGTTAGTTAGTTAGTTAGTTAGTTAGTTAGTTAGTTAGTAGTTAGTTAGTTAGTTAGTTAGTATTAGTTAGTTAGTTAGTTAGTTAGTTAGTTAGTTAGTTAGTTAGTAGTTAGTTAGTTAGTTAGTTAGTTAGTTAGTTAGTAGTTAGTTAGTTAGTTAGTAGTTAGTTAGTTAGTTAGTTAGTTAGTTAGTAGTTAGTTAGTTAGTTAGTTAGTTAGTTAGTTAGTTAGTTAGTTAGTTAGTTAGTATAGTAGGTTAGTTAGTTAGTTAGTAGTTAGTAGTTAGTTAGTTAGTAGTTAGTTAGTTAGTTAGTTAGTTAGTTAGTTAGTAGTTAGTTAGTTAGTTAGTAGTTAGTTAGTTAGTAGTTGTTAGTTAGTTAGTTAGTTAGTTAGTTAGTTAGTTAGTTAGTTAGTTAGTTAGTTAGTTAGTTAGTTAGTTAGTTAGTTAGTTAGTTAGTTAGTTAGTTAGTTAGTTAGTTAGTTAGTTAGTTAGTTAGTTAGTAGTAGTTAGTTTAGTTAGTTAGTTAGTTAGTTAGTTAGTTAGTTAGTTAGTTAGTTAGTTAGTTAGTTAGTTAGTTCGTTAGTTAGTTAGTTAGTTAGTTAGTTAGTTAGTTAGTTAGTTAGTTAGTTAGTTAGTTAGTTAGTAGTAGTTAGTTAGTTAGTTAGTTAGTTAGTTAGTTGTTAGTTAGTTAGTTAGTTAGTTAGTTAGTTAGTTAGTAGTAGTTAGTTAGTTAGTTAGTTAGTTAGTTAGTTAGTAGTTAGTTAGTTAGTTAGTAGTTAGTTAGTTAGTTAGTTAGTTAGTTAGTTAGTTAGTTAGTTAGTTAGTTAGTTAGTTAGTTAGTTAGTTAGTTAGTTAGTTAGTTAGTTAGTTAGTTAGTTAGTTAGTTAGTTAGTTAGTTAGTTAGTTAGTTAGTAGTTAGTTAGTTAGTAGTTAGTTAGTTAGTTAGTTAGTTAGTTAGTAGTTAGTTAGTTAGTTAGTTAGTTAGTTAGTTAGTTAGTAGTTAGTTAGTTAGTTAGTTAGTTAGTTAGTTAGTTAGTTAGTTAGTTAGTTAGTTAGTTAGTTAGTTAGTTAGTTAGTTAGTTAGTTAGTTAGTTAGTTAGTTAGTTAGTTAGTTAGTTAGTTAGTTAGTTAGTTAGTTAGTTAGTAGTTAGTTAGTTAGTTAGTTAGTTAGTAGTTAGTTAGTTAGTTAGTTAGTTAGTTAGTTAGTTAGTTAGTTAGTTAGTTAGTTAGTTAGTTAGTTAGTTAGTTAGTTAGTAGTTAGTTAGTTAGTTAGTTAGTTAGTTAGTTAGTTAGTTAGTTAGTTAGTTAGTTAGTTAGTTAGTTAGTTAGTTAGTTAGTTAGTTAGTAGTTAGTTAGTTAGTTAGTTAGTTAGTAGTTAGTTAGTTAGTTAGTTAGTTAGTTAGTTAGTTAGTAGTTAGTTAGTTAGTAGTAGTTAGTTAGTTAGTTAGTTAGTTAGTTAGTTAGTTAGTTAGTTAGTTAGTTAGTTAGGTAGTTAATTACTATTATTTAAAGAAAGTCTCAACCTTTATCTTTCCAATAAAGTGAAATTTATAAAAATTCATTCTCTTTTGATGAAGTTATACCTAATTTAACAAAGTAACTCTTAATTAATATTAATCATACGTCATGTTGGTACGTATTCGTATAACATACAATATATGGGATGAAAAACTAAATTCAAAACAAAATAGTTTAAAACAGTTAAAATCCAAAGAATTCAGCAAAATTTTTAGGATTTTTCACTTTAAAATTTATAAAATTATATCAAATTTAGTATTAACAATACAATTTTCTAAAAAAAAATCATAAGTCATAATTAAGTAATATTGTTGTTATTTCCTCTTAAATCAAAATTATTTTATAAAAATAAAACAAATTTGTAAATTACACATCAACAGGCTCACAATTAATTAGCAAATATTTTGAGGAGTTAGCAAAAGTGTGTTGCTAATACTAATTTTATAAAGAAGCGTGACGTTTGCTAGGAGCGTTCTATATTTTATCCAACCAGCGACAACAACAACAAACAAGTTACAGTAACATGATCGAAATAATTAGCACATTTTACTTAAATGAGAGAGTATTTAAAGCAAATACAATACAAGAATAAATATTTAATTGTATAAAATACAAATAAAGAAAAAAAACTTATATTAAACAACTAATATTTAACACAATTTTGTTAATAACATATTAAAACGTTATAACACCAAGACATAAAAAAGCAAATACACACACCCCTTAATAATAATTTAACTTAAATTTAAAATAGAATAAAATCGAAATACATAGAAAGAAATGTTATGAAAATAAAAGGGGTTTTGAAAGTATTGGTTGCAATTTAGCTTTAAATGAAATTTCTATAAATTCATTAAACTTCGAAAGTTTGGTTAACAGTCGTTAAACAACAGTGAAATTGAATAGAAAGATATTTAAAGATAATTAGTAAAAGAAAATTAAAGATTTAAAATAAAAATATTTTGTATTAATATTACTCATACGCAACATGGTGCTAAGTGAAGATATTGAACAATTAAAGTTACAAGAACAACAATCTCTAAAATCGGAAACTAACTGTGATAATAATAATTATGAAGATTGTAATACTGATATAGAAGAAGTTAATGTTCATTTAAAAGTGCCCGATTTGGTTAAACTTCATCCGAATATAGAAAAACTTAAACAGGAAGAGGGCATTCATGAGGCACAACGTAAAAAAGAGGAAAATACTAAAAATGCTAGAGATTTAGAAAATTCTGAAACTGCCCAAATTATCGAAGAGATAATTGAGGGTATTTCTTTGCAAGGCAGACGCGGTACATTAGTACGCACCATATCAGCTGTTTTAAGGTAAAAGAAATTTGAAATGAAGATTTTGAAAAATGGTCTCATGTTTGTTCTTAAACAGTTCAACAGATAATGAAAATGATTTATTATTATTATTCTCATCATTATTGTTTTATTTTCGTCTAATAATTATAAGATGAGGGTGTTTGTTTTAGTTAATTTGTCTTAGTTATAACACTTAATTAGTCTTATTTTGCTTTTGTAGACAAACAAATACGAATTTCTTATCAATTTATTTTAGGAAAATATGTTTAACCTTTTTGACTTAAATTAAAGTCTAATTTTGTTCAAATTGTTTTCAAATTAAGATTTGATGATTGAATTGTAAACATTTTACTTTGGATGATGAAAATATTTGAAATCTTTACAATAAATTGGATTTTTAAAACAAAAGCTTTAATAAAAATTAAATTTGAAAAATTTAAAAACAAAGCTTTCGGAAAATATGCATTTATTTTATAATTCGAAGTTTGTTTTTTATGTAATTTATATTCTTTTCAAAGCTTTAAACTAAACTATATAGAAAGCTCTTAAAAGCTTTTCAAATTAAAAAAACTTTTTATATTAAAGCTTTTTAATTTAAAAAGCTACAAAAGCAAAAGTTCAATTTAATTAAAATAAACTTAAAGTTCATCTCAGAAATTTATTGCTATTTCCATTTGAAAATCCTCAATTTATGACAGTTCTTCATAACGAAAGTTTTAAAGCTTTTGATATTGTAACAATTGTCAATTCTAAGTTAAAATCTAAATATAAATTTTGTGAATCCCTATAAATATTTCTATTAATTGTTTTTTTATTCAAAACAAACTAAATATTACTCTTACTTTTTTATGGATCCAAAAGCTTACAGAAGCGCTACTACTCCATAAGACCGTGAGTAATATTGGTTAAATTTGATTTTTTAATAATACTCCTAAAAACAAGTTCCATATTTTTTTTTGGTTTATTTAAATTTAATTAAATCATACTTATTATCATTATTTGGTACATTTAATTAGTAAATATGTATTTAACAATAAACACGTGCTAAAACGTAATAATATTCATAAAATCCGAATACAAATTATTTTGATTTTTTGTTAATATATGTATCTTTTTTAAAATTAAATTTATTGACACCTTTTTTTATTATAATTTAAAAAGTAGAATTTAAAAAAACCCCTTTACTTATTAGCACAAGTGATTAACTCTTTTGCGTCATTGGAATTGAGTCTAAAGTCCTGCAAAAAAAAAAAAAAAATTCTTAAATATTTATAAACTTATACTAAACTAAACTATAAACAAGACTATAGACTAGAATCTAGACTATACTATAAACTAGACTATAGACTAGACTATACACTAGACTATAGACTAGACTATAGACTAGACTATAGACTAGACTATAGACTAGACTATAGACTAGACCATAGACTAGACTATAGACTAGACCATAGACTAGACTATAGACTAGACTATAGACTAGACTATAGACTAGACTATAGACTAGACTATAGACTAGACTATAGACTAGACTATAGACTAGACTATAGACTAGACTATAGACTAGACTATAGACTAGACCATAGACTAGACTATAGACTAGACCATAGACTAGACTATAGACTAGACTATAGACTAGACTATAGACTAGACCATAGACTAGACTATAGACTAGACTATAGACTAGACTATAGACTAGACTATAGACTAGACTATAGACTAGACCATAGACTAGACTATAGACTAGACCATAGACTAGACTATAGACTAGACTATAGACTAGACTATAGACTAGACTATAGACTAGACTATAGACTAGACTATAGACTAGACTATAGACTAGACTATAGACTAGACTATAGACTAGACTATAGACTAGACTATAGACTAGACTATAGACTAGACTATAGACTAGACTATAGACTAGACTATAGACTAGACTATAGACTAGACTATAGACTAGACTATAGACTAGACTATAGACTAGACTATAGACTAGACTATAGACTAGACTATAGACTAGACTATAGACTAGACTATAGACTAGACTATAGACTAGACTATAGACTTGACTATAGACTAGACTATAGACTAGACTATAGACTAGACTATAGACTTGACTATAGACTAGACTATAGACTAAACTATAGACTAGACTATAGACTAGACTATAGACTAGACTATAGACTAGACTATAGACTAGACTATAGACTAGACTATAGACTAGACTATAGACTAGACTATAGACTAGACTATAGACTAGACTATAGACTAGACTATAGACTAGACTATAGACTAGACTATAGACTAGACTATAGACTAGACTATAGACTAGACTATAGACTAGACTATAGACTAGACTATAGACTAGACTATAGACTAGACTATAGACTAGACTATAGACTAGACTATAGACTAGACTATAGACTAGACTATAGACTAGACTATAGACTAGACTATAGACTAGACTATAGACTAGACTATAGACTAGACTATAGACTAGACTATAGACTATAGAACTAGACTATAGACTAGACTATAGACTAGACTATAGACTAGACTATAGACTAGACTATAGACTAGACTATAGACTAGACTATAGACTAGACTATAGACTAGACTATAGACTAGACTATAGACTAGACTATAGACTAGACTATAGACTAGACTATAGACTAGACTATAGACTAGACTATAGACTAGACTATAGACTAGACTATAGACTAGACTATAGACTAGACTATAGACTAGACTATAGACTAGACTATAGACTAGACTATAGAGACTAGACTAGAGACTAGACTACTTAGACTAGACTATAGACTAGACTATAGGACTAGACTATAGACTAGACTATAGACTAGACTATAGACTAGACTATAGACTAGACTATAGACTAGACTATAGACTAGACTATAGACTAGACTATAGACTAGACTATAGACTAGACTATAGCTAGACTATAGACGACTATAGACTAGACTATAGACTAGACTATAGACTAGACTATAGACTAGACTATAGACTAGACTATAGACTAGACTATAGACTAGACTATAGACTAGACTATAGACTAGACTATAGACTAGACTATAGACTAGACTATAGACTAGACTATAGACTAGACTATAGACTAGACTATAGACTAGACTATAGACTAGACTATAGACTAGACTATAGACTAGACTATAGACTAGACTATAGACTAGACTATAGACTAGACTATAGACTAGACTATAGACTATAGACTAGACTATAGACTAGACTATAGACTAGACTATAGACTAGACTGTAGACTAGACTGTAGACTAGACTATAGACTAGACTATAGACTAGACTATAGACTAGACTATAGACTAGACTATAGACTAGACTAGACTATAGACTAGACTATAGACTAGACTATAGACTAGACTATAGACTAGACTATAGACTAGACTATAGACTAGACTATAGACTAGACTATAGACTAGACTATAGACTAGACTATAGACTAGACTATAGACTAGACTATAGACTAGACTATAGACTAGACTATAGACTAGACTATAGACTAGACTATAGACTAGACTATAGACTAGACTATAGACTAGACTATAGACTAGACTATAGACTAGACTATAGACTAGACTATAGACTAGACTATAGACTAGACTATAGACTAGACTATAGACTAGACTATAGACTAGACTATAGACTAGACTATAGACTAGACTATAGACTAGACTATAGACTAGACTGTAGACTAGAATTTAGACTAGAGTTAAGACTAGACTTTAGACTAGACTTTAGACTAGACTTTAGACTAGACTTTAGACTAGACTTTAGACTAGACTTTAGACTAGTCTGAAGTATAGTCTTTAGACTAGACTAGAGATTAGACTGGACTATTCTATAGTCCAGACTATAGACTGTTCTATAGTCCAGACTATAGACTATTCTATAGCCTATACTTTAGACTATTCTATAGTCCAGACTACAGACTATTCTATAGTCCAGACTATAGACTATTCTATAGTCCAAACTAGAGACTATTCTATAGTCCAGATTATAGACTATTTTATAGTCCAGTCTATAGACTATTCTATAATCTGGACTATAGACTATTATATAGTCCAGTCTATAGACTATTCTATAGTCCAATCTATAGACTATTCTATAGCCCAGACTATAAACTATTCTATTGTCCAGACTATAGACTATTCTTCAGTCCCGACTATAGACTATTCTATATTCCCGATTTTATACTTTTCTATACTCCAGGCTAAATACTATACTGTAAATAACAAAGTCCACATTATTTTATTTAAAACCAAAATTACGTCATATCTTTTCTTGCAATTAATTTTGCAAACATGCATAAACTCCTTGAACAGATGTTGGCCCCTCTTTTTGACAAAACGTGTCAATTATTTAATTTTCATGTTCTTTTAATGAATTTTGAACTAAAACTAACAAAAAAAAACCTTCCGCATAATTCTTACGATTCTTATACGATCATTGTGTATCAATTAACAGAAAAAGAAATCAAAGACGAATAACAACAAAATGTTACGTCTTTTTGATTGTTTTATTTTAGGCGCCCAACTATTTTTAAATTTTCTACTAGAATACAAATTGATTTGTAAACTTTTAGTTAATTGATTTTAATTGGCAGTGATTTGCGACACTATACATATCAATAGAACCCTGATACTTTTTATAACAGTTTCGCAAGTTAAGAGCTAAGAAACGGTTGTCTTCGGGAAAAAAAAAGTGTTGGGGCAAAAGTTAACATAACAAGGATTTCTTTAAAAATATATTAAAAAAAAGGACCTTATTTTGAAAAATGTACGAGAAAATGTTTGAACATTATTGTTTGAGATGTTTGCCCATAGTGAATCGGTAATAAGTGAAAACATATTTATTATTTCAGTTTTATTTACGAAAACACTAGACATTTTATGTGATTTTTTTTTTAAATTTAGTTTTCGTTTAAATCCTTTCTTAACTTCCTTTTAAACTATTTAGATTTCTTGGTGTAAATATATTTGTAGCATGTATATATAGTTTTTTGAGCGATAACTGATAACTTATAATAAATTTTAAATTTGTTTTTAACTTTAGCCACCGTGAACAGGAGCAACGTAATGCCGAAGATGTTTTATTCGATATGTTCTATAATGAGGAGACGGGTCTCATATCCATGGGCAAATTCTTGGCTGCCCTTAAGACCACCGGTATTAGAAGGTCTGATCCCCGTATTAAGGAGCTTATGGATAACTTAAAGAAAGTACATAAATTAACCAACTATGAATCGGGTTCGTCTGCTGAAACACAAATCTTAATAGGGAGACCTTTAAAGCGTAAGTGGAAAATTTAAAATGCTTAAGAGCACTTTAAAGGAACTGTGTGCTTTTTTCTTTTCAGTGTGGTGGCCCAAAATATTGTCTTGATTGCCAAGGCTTTCCGTCAACAATTCGTTATACCCGACTTTGTGGGTTTCGTCAAGGATGTGGAGGATATTTATTGGAAATGCAAAAGTAATACCGATGGCAAAGTGGCCGATTATATTCCTCAATTGGCCCGCTATAGTCCCGAGTCCTGGGGTGTTAGTATTTGCACCATAGATGGTCAACGTTATTCTATAGGCGATGTTGAAGTTCCCTTCACTCTACAAAGTTGCAGGTAAATTTTTACATAAAACTTCTTTATGTGTGTTCTGCTCATTTCATAAAACTTAGAAAGCCACTCGCAGGTTTGTTGTTGTCAAAAGATCTTGTCTAAAATTAAAAGATCTTTTCATTATCATGCTTTATATATCTCTTTCTTTCGTTCATTAATTGTAATAATTGCAGTTTGGTCCCTTGAGAGAGAGTGAATGAGAGCGTTTGCTTAAAGTAAAACATAAGCTTTTACATGTTTAGAAAAGCCGAAGCTTTGCTCAGTCACTTCTTTTCAAATAAAAACTGAAAAACTAAAGCACTCCTACCATAAGAAACTTTCATCCGTTTTGTTGTTGTTGTTGTATTAGAAACGCCTTAATTTTGTTGGACTTTAATTGTAAAGTCTAAATCAAAATTGTTGACGAATGCTGTTCCCGAAGGTCTGTTCATTTTACTAATTACGAACAAATTTTACTTTATAATTTTTTCCCTGCAAACTATTAGCAAACCTTTGACTTATGCCATTGCCTTGGAGAAGTTGGGCGCCAAAGTTGTGCACTCGTATGTGGGTCAAGAGCCTAGTGGTCGTAATTTCAATGAATTGATTTTGGATTATAATAGTAAGTTTATTATTTAAACTTTATTTTAAAAAATATTTAACTTATAATTATCTTTCCTTATTGCAGATAAACCCCATAATCCCATGATTAATGCTGGTGCCATTTTAACCTGTTCCTTAATTCATGCTTTAATCAAACCCGAAATGACTCAGGCGGAAAAGTTCGATTATGTTATGTCGTGGTTTAAACGTTTGTCCGGTGGCGATAATATTGGCTTTAATAATGCTGTCTTCTTGTCGGAACGTGAAGCTGCCGATCGTAATTATGCTTTGGGTTTCTATATGCGTGAAAATAAATGCTATCCAAAACGCACAAATCTGAAGGAGTGTATGGACTTTTATTTCCAGGTAAGAGGAAAATTGGAATTATTCTAATAATAGATATAGACTATTCTATAGTCCCGACAATAGAATATTCTATAGTCCAGACTATATGCTATTCAATAGTCCATTCTATAGTCCAGACTATAGTCTATTCTATAGTCCAGACTATAGTTTGTTCTATAGTCTACACTATAGTCTGTTATATAGTCTACTCTATGGTCTGTTCTATAGTCCACACTATAATCCAGACTATACCTATTCTATAGTCCAGCCTATAATCTATTCTATAGTCCAGTCTATAGTCTATTCTATAGTCCAGTCTATAGTCTATTCTATAGTCCAGTCTATAGCCTATTCTATAGTCCAGTCTATAGTCTATTCTATAGTCCAGAATATAGTCTATTCTATAGTCCAGAATATAGTCTATTCTATAGTCCAGACTATAGTCTATTCTATAGTCCAGACATAGTCTATTCTATAGTTCAGACTATAGTCCATTCTATAGTCTATTCTATAGTCCAGACTATAGTCCATTCTATAGTCCAGACTATAGTCCATTCTATAGTCCAGACTATAGTCCATTCTATAGTCTATTTTATAGTCCATTCTATAGTCTATTTTATAGTCCATTCTATTCTATAGTCCAGACTATAGTCTATTCTATAGTCCAGACTATAGTCTATTCTATAGTTCAGACTATAGTCTATTCTATAGTCCAGACTAAAGTATATTCTATAGTCCAAACTATAATCCATTCTACAGTCCCAACTATAGTCTACTCTATAGTCCAAACTATAGTCTACTCTATAGTCCAGACTATAGTCTATTCTATAGTCCAGACTATAGTCTATTCTATAGTCCAGACTATAGTCTATTCTATAGTCCAGACTATAGTCTATTCTATAGTCCAGACTAGACTATAGTCTATTCTATAGTCCAGACTATAGTCTATTCTATAGTCCAGACTGTAGTCTATTCTATAGTCCAGACTATAGTCTATTCTATAGTCCAGACTATAGTCTATTCTATAGTCCAGACTATAGTCTATTCTATAGTCCAGACTATAGTCTATTCTATAGTCCAGACTATAGTCTATTCTATAGTCCAGACTATAGTCTATTCTATAGTCCAGACTATAGTCTATTCTATAGTCCAGACTATAGTATATTCTATAGTCCAGACTATAGTATATTCTATAGTCCAGACTATAGTCCAGACTATAGTATATTCTATAGTCCAAACTATAATCCATTCTATAGTCCAGACTATAGTCTATTCTATAGTCCAAACTATAATCCATTCTACAGTCCCAACTATAGTCTACTCTATAGTCCAAACTATAGTCTACTCTATAGTCCAAACTATAGTCTACTCTATAGTCCAAACTATAGTCTACTCTATATAGTCCAGACTATAGTCTACTCTATAGTCCAGACTATAGTCTACTCTATAGTCCAGACTATAGTCTACTCTATAGTCCAGACTATAGTCTACTCTATAGTCCAGACTATAGTCTATTCTATAGTTCAGACTATAATCTATTCTATAGTCCAGACTATAGTCTATTCTATAGTCCAGACTATAGTCTATTCTATAGTCCAGACTATAGTATATTCTATAGTCCAGACTATAGTCTATTCTATAGTCCAAACTATAGTCTACTCTATAGTCCAGGCTATAGTCTACTCTATAGTCCAGACTACAGTCTACTCTATAGTCCAGACTACAGTCTACTATATAGTCCAAACTATAGTCTACTCTATAGTCCAGACTATAGGTTACTCTATAGTCCAGACTATAGGCTACTCTGTAGTCCAGACTATAGGCTACTCTGTAGTCCAGACTATAGTCTACTCTATAGTCCAGACTATAGCGTAGTGTTTTCTATAGTCCAGTCAATAGTATTTAGTCTGTTCTATAGCCCAGACTTAAGACTATACTATAGTCCTGATATTAGTCTATTTTAAAGTGTAGACTATAGTCGAACCTATATTCCAAATTTCTGTTAAACAATTGATTTGAAATCTCTGTAACTTTTGTTCTTTTTATCTATTTCCAGTGCTGTTCCATGGAGACTACCTGTGAAGCCATGTCCGTAATTGCTGCCACCCTAGCTAATGGTGGTATTTGTCCCACCACTGAAGAAAAAGTATTCCAACCCGAAGTTGTACGTGATGTACTTTCCATTATGCACTCGTGCGGCACCTACGATTATTCCGGTCAATTTGCCTTCAAGGTGGGTTTGCCGGCCAAGTCTGGTGTTAGTGGTGGCATGATGTTGGTTATTCCTAATGTTATGGGTATTTTTGCCTGGTCACCACCACTCGATCAATTGGGCAACTCTGTTAGAGGTGTACAATTCTGTGAGGAATTGGTTAATGTTTTCAATTTCCATCGTTATGATAATTTAAAACATGCTTCGAATAAGAAAGATCCACGTAAACATCGTTACGAAACGAAAGGTTTATCTATAGTCAATTTATTGTTTTCGGCGGCTAGTGGTGATGTTACCGCTTTACGTAGACATAGATTGTCGGGTATGGATATAACTTTAGCCGATTATGATGGTCGTACCGCTTTGCATTTAGCCGCTTCTGAGGGACATTTGGATTGTGTAAAATTCTTGTTGGAACAATGTCATGTTCCTCACAATCCCAAGGATCGTTGGGGTAATATGCCTGTAGATGAGGCCGAAAATTTTGGTCATCAAAATGTTGTGGACTATTTGAAACAGTGGGCGGAGAAGGCTCAAAGTACAGAAGAGGCCAAGAACGAGGCAGTTGTAACAAAAACCGAGGCGGATGAGGTAAGAAAACGGTTTGCTTTTAAGGTAGGCTTTGTATATAACAAATTTCCTCTCTTTGACAGGAACTTATAACCGATGAAATCGATCCCGCTTATGATCGCAGTGCTACCGCTAGTCCTATGCCCTCCGAAGGTAGCTCCAGCAGTGGTCCCGATGATACTACCCGTCCTGGCTTGTAAAGACTTGTTTTACAACACAGTTAGTTTAAACATAGAGACATTTTGTGAGAAAAGGAATCTCTGACTAGATTATTTAATAATATGCTTTAATTTTTTTTTATATTCATATTTTATAATTTAAAAACGTAACTAGTTTAGAAATTATTTGCCTAAAAACTTTTCCTTGTTTTTAGCTTTAAGCTTTAACAGAATTTAAACAAAAAAAGAGAAAAACAAAACAAGCTCTCGAATTAAAAGAAAAAAGTCTAAAGCCCCGCTACTTAGAGAAAGAAAAGAGTACTTAAGTATATATATTTTTTAAAAATGAAGGTAAAAAAAAAACTCCAAAGATATTGTAACCAGTGTTGATTTATAGAAAAATATATATATATATATATAAGATTATGAAATGACAATAATATTTATCTAAAAACAAAACTATATACAAAAAATATATAATTTCCAAAAAAACAAAATCTATCACTCCATATAAAATATATCACTTTATATAGCAATATTTCTTCATCAATTTCATTTTCTTTATATATATAAAACTCAATCGCAACACAACCTCTTTTCGGTCGCCCCCTTTTTTTTAAATAGTTATCTTAATAATTTCATACTTATATGTAGTTCCATTTACTTTTTAGCTATAAATCGCAAAAAAAAAGTTTAAATATTTTAAGTTTAATTTAACTATTCTATATTTTTGTTCTGTGTAAAACACCTGTGATTATTCGAAATTTTTATTTGTATTTTATTCGTTTTTCTGGTCTAATAACTTAAATAGTTTTTATACTCTTGTATTATTATTATTTTATTAGGGTTTTGTTTATTATTATAATTTTATTTTTTTTTAATAATTTTCCTACTTAAATACTTTAATGTTAATTTAAAAACTGGTTTTTGATTCCTTTTTTTTTAATTTTATATAATTTTATAACTTATAATCACTTTGTGTTTTTTTTTTTGCTCGTAAGATTTTTTTTTTTTTTTGAAAATACTACAATATTTTCCATATATATGTATTTAATTATTTATTAAGTCTCCATTTTAGAGAACAAAAAATTACAATTATTTAAACCCATAAGTTAACCTATATAAATAGATGTCCTAAGTATGTAATTGTGTTTCAGAAACGATATATAAAATTAAATCAAATAAAATAAAATTAAAACAACTAAAAAAAAAAAACTTGCAGTTTTTCTATAATTCGTGAGAATATCAAGGCAGATATTGAATATAAATAAATATTCAATTAAATAAATAAGGAAAATCCGATAACATTTCAATTTTCCTTCATAAATATATACCAGACTATAGTCTTAACTCTAGAAGAGGCTATAGGCTAGATAATATATTAAAATATAAACTACAGACAAGGCTATATTCCAGACTATAGACTGTATCTTAAACTATGTATAGTCATGATATTAATATATTCGAATAAAGTCCAGACAATAGAAAGTACATACCAGACTATAGCCTGCAAAATAGTCCAGATTCTTAACTAGATTATAAACTAGACTAGATTACAAATATAGACTAGAGGAATGAAAAATTTTAATTTTGATACACATATTACTAAATTTCGTGCAAAAATTGAGACTACTACGCAAACGCGTGTAAGGGGTATTGCTCAAAGGACTGGTCTAAAACTAATCCATATACATGGAAAAAACTCCAATTCCAATTTATCATTGTGATGTCCTAGGTGTGGACCACGTAATTCATGAATACATTACGTCGGAGTAATCTCAAAACTAGTCCCTAGACTATAGACTAGACTATAAACTATACTATAAACTAGAGTATAGACTAGACTATAGACTAGACTATAGACTAGACTATAAACTAGAGTATAGATTAGACTATAGACTATACTATAGACTAGACTATAGACTAGACTATAGACTAGACTAGACTATAGACTAGACTATAGACTAGACTATAGACCAGACTATAGACTAGACTATAAACTAGAGTATAGATTAGACTATAGACTAGACTAGACTATAGACTAGACTATAGACTAGATTAGACTAGACTATAGACTAGACTATAGACTAGAATATAGACTAGACTATAGACTAGACTATAGACTAGACTATAGACTAGACTATAGACTAGACTATAGACCAGACTATAGACTAGACTATAGACTAGACTATAGACTAGACTATAGACTAGACTATAGACTAGACTAGACTATAGACTAGACTATAGACTAGACTATAGACTAGACTATAGACTAGACTATAGACTAGACTATAGACTAGACTATAGACTAGACTATAGACTAGGCTATAGACTATAGACTAGACTATAGACTAGACTATAGACTAGACTATAACTAGACTATAGACTAGACTATAGACTAGACTATAGACTAGACTATAGACTAGACTATAGACTAGACTATAGACTAGATATAGACTAGACTATAGACTAGGACTATAGACTAGACTATAGACTAGACTATAGACTAGACTATAGACTAGACTATAGACTAGACTATAGACTAGACTATAGACTAGACTATAGACTATAGACTAGACTATAGACTAGACTATAGACTAGACTATAGACTAGACTATAGACTAGACTATAATAGACTAGACTATAGACTAGACTATAGACTAGACTATAGACTGACTATAGACTAGACTATAGACTAGACTATAGACTAGACTATAGACTAGACTATAGACTAGACTATAGACTAGACTATAGACTAGACTATAGACTAGACTATAGACTAGACTATAGACTAGACTATAGACTAGACTATAGACTAGACTATAGACTAGACTATAGGCTAGTTAGTTATTAGTAGTTAGTAGTTAGTTAGTTAGTTAGTTAGTTAGTTAGTAGTTAGTTAGTTAGTTAGTTAGTTAGTTAGTTAGTTAGTTAGTTAAGTTAGTTAGTTAGTTAGTTAGTTAGTTAGTAGTTAGTTAGTTAGTTAGTTAGTTAGTTAGTTAGTTAGTTAGTAGTTAGTTAGTTAGTTAGTTAGTTAGTTAGTTAGTTAGTTAGTTAGTTAGTTAGTTAGTTAGTTAGTTAGTTAGTTAGTTAGTTAGTAGTTAGTTAGTTAGTTAGTTAGTTAGTTAGTTAGTTAGTTAGTTAGTTAGTTAGTTAGTAGTTAGTTAGTTAGTTAGTTAGTTAGTTAGTAGTTAGTTAGTTAGTTAGTTAGTTAGTTAGTTAGTTAGTTAGTTAGTTAGTTAGTTAGTTAGTTAGTTAGTTAGTTAGTTAGTTAGTTAGTAGTTAGTTAGTTAGTTAGTAGTTAGTTAGTTAGTTAGTTAGTTAGTTAGTTAGTTAGTTAGTAGTTAGTTAGTTAGTTAGTTAGTTAGTTAGTTAGTTAGTTAGTAGTTAGTTAGTTAGTAGTTAGTTAGTTAGTTAGTTAGTTAGTTAGTTAGTTAGTTAGTTAGTTAGTTAGTTAGTTAGTTAGTTAGTTAGTAGTTAGTTAGTTAGTTAGTTAGTTAGTTAGTTAGTTAGTTAGTTAGTTAGTTAGTTAGTTAGTTAGTTAGTTAGTTAGTTAGTTAGTTAGTTAGTTAGTTAGTTAGTTAGTTAGTTAGTTAGTTAGTTAGTTAGTTAGTTAGTTAGTTAGTTAGTTAGTTAGTTAGTTAGTTAGTTAGTTAGTTAGTTAGTTAGTAGTTAGTTAGTTAGTTAGTTAGTTAGTTAGTTAGTTAGTTAGTTAGTTAGTTAGTTAGTTAGTAGTTAGTTAGTTAGTAGTTAGTTAGTTAGTTAGTTAGTTAGTTAGTTAGTTAGTTAGTTAGTTAGTTAGTTAGTTAGTTAGTTAGTTAGTTAGTTAGTTAGTAGTTAGTTAGTTAGTTAGTTAGTTAGTTAGTTAGTAGTAGTTAGTTAGTTAGTTAGTTAGTTAGTTAGTTAGTTAGTTAGTTAGTTAGTAGTTAGTTAGTTAGTTAGTTAGTTAGTTAGTTAGTTAGTTAGTAGTTAGTTAGTTAGTTAGTTAGTAGTTAGTTAGTTAGTTAGTTAGTTAGTTAGTTAGTTAGTTAGTTAGTTAGTTAGTTAGTTAGTGACATTTTCTCATTTAATACGACCGTCGTTTAGTTCATCTCTAAACCACTTTAAGGTTTATGTCTTCAATAACTGTTAACATAAAAGCTTTGCTCTCTGTTAAGTTTTGTAACTTATCTTTACAGTACTCCAAAACTTTTAACATTCTTATGTACTTTTTAACGAACTATACGTATAAACATATTGCTTATATGTATGTATGTAAGTATGTGAATTGTATGTTTCAAATTTTTATTTTTACCCTCTTCGGAATATATCGCCAACATTAATGCAATCACAGCCATTTAGAGAAGAATACTAAAGCTTCAATTACTTGGCGTACTTTACTACAGTAGTGTTTACGGGCAAACTGGTGGACTAGTTGTTGGTTCTGTTGGTTTGCTGGCAGCAGGTTGCTTGACTGTATCTATAAGTTATTGTGTTTCATATACAAAGCGAAACAGTATACGAACGTTGTGATTCCCATAAAGAACTCGAAATAATTGAGGCGCGGAAAAAAATCAAAAGAAAATTCATTTTTGAAAATAAATAAAATCATAGAATAAATATGAGAAAAAATCAAATATAAAGTGGAAATAAACGGATATATTTTTTTTATTTAATAAACGAAAATATTAATTTAAATTGGAAAATTTTATTTGAGAAACTAAAGGGAATTAAAGAGAGTTTTCTATGGTGGAGAAAAAAAGATTTTTCATTAAAGTTTGAAACTACAAATACAAAGAAGAAAACGTATTGTTGATGATTTTGCCGGTATAGTTAAAGAATTTTCTACTTGGGGTAGGTTAGTGTTGTTTTGTATCCAGTATTTATTCATTCATTCAGTGGTTGTATGTTGCAAGCAATGTAGCAACAGCATTCGTAGCAGCAGCATCTCTTGGCAGCAACATCATCAACAACATAAAATCTCATAATGAGTTTCTCGTATTGCATATGAAAAAAAAAAACAGCAAGCAGTCAGTATAAGGGTGTCAACGTATAGATAGATACTTGCAACATTTCCATAAATATACACAAACAAACATTTATAGAAAATAACTACAGTTTTCCCCCCGGAGGAGTGAGTGAGAATCTTTTGTATTTATGCACAAATACATTTGCATATGGAAAACCAACAACTTCAAACGGAAATATAAGTTCTAAAGTTAAAAGTGTAATTAAAACAGTGTCAAAGTTGACAATTGCAACAAAAAACCGAAAGAAAAAAGTGAAAAACATAAAACCGGAAGAAGTGCAAAATCATTGTTTGTTTTTTGAAAAATATACACAACTTTTATAATTACGAAAAAAGTACTTGCTAAGCCTCTTTTAACAACAAAAAATTTAAAGAAACAACTAAAACAATTCACTTTAAATATCTTTAAAAATTTGCATTTAAACTAAACTAAATAAAAAACTTAATTTATACAACTGCCAAAACGTTACCAACGAAAAACCACAAAAAAAAAAAAAAATAATTAAATCGCACATACAAATAAAAGTTGCCGCCCTTTTTTGTGTCGTTGCTCCTTCCCACCCACCGTTGTCTATTGAATGTAATAAAAAAAGAAGCATCGTTAAATAACTCTAACATTATTCAAATATTAAGGGTAAGTTCTTTTATATTTTAATACGAGTATAATAGAAATTATTTATAAATATTTAGAATTTCACCTTAAATCGTGTCAATAGTTAAGAATGTATGTTGTTTGACTGTACATTAGGAGTGCTACATAAAAAATTTAACGTTTATTAAAGGAACTACATTTAATTGCAATTTATGAAGGGCTTTTAAAATTGACACTGAATTATATTATTATTTCGATTTAAAATGCCATTGCAATGCCAGTCTATAGTATAGTCCATAGTTTAGTCTATAATCCAGTCTATAGTCTAGTCTATAGTCTAGTCTATAGTCTAGTCTATAGTCTAGTCTATAGTCTAGTCTATAGTCTAGTCTATAGTCTAGTCTATAGTCTAGTCTATAGTAGTCTATAGTCTAGTCTATAGTCTAGTCTAGTCTAGTCTAGTCTATAGTCTAGTCTCTATAGTCTAGTCTATAGTCTAGTCTCTAGTCTAGTCTCTAGTCTAGTCTCTAGTCTAGTCTATAGTCTAGTCTATAGTCTAGTCTACAGTCTAGTCTATAGTCTAGTCTATCGTCTAGTCTATAGTCTAGTCTATAGTGTAGTCTATAGTGTAGTCTATAGTCTAGTCTATAGTCTAGTCTATAGTCTAGTCTATAGTCTAGACTATAGTCTAGTCTATAGTCTAGTCTAGTCTATATTCTAGTCTATAGTCTAGTCTATAGTCTAGTCTATAGTCTAGTCTAGTCTATATTCTAGTCTATAGTCTAGTCTATAGTCTAGTCTATAGTCTAGTCTATAGTCTAGTCTATAGTCTAGTCTACAGTCTAGTCTATAGTCTAGTCTACAGTCTAGTCTATAGTCTAGTCTATAGTCTAGACTATTAGTCTAGTTATAGTCTAGTCTAGTCTAGTCTATATTCTAGTCTATAGTCTAGTCTATAGTCTAGTCTATAGACTAGACTATAGTCTAGTCTATAGTCTAGTCTAGTCTATAGTCTAGTCTAGTCTATAGTCTAGTCTAGTCTATAGTCTAGTCTATAGTCTAGTCTATAGTCTAGTCTATAGTCTAGTCTATAGTCTAGTCTATAGTCTAGTCTATAGTCTAGTCTATAGTCTAGTCTATAGTCTAGTCTATAGTCTAGTCTATAGTCTAGTCTATAGTCTAGTCTATAGTCTAGTCTATAGTCTAGTCTATAGTCTAGTCTATAGTCTAGTCTATAGTCTAGTCTATAGTCTAGTCTATAGTCTAGTCTATAGTCTAGTCTATAGTCTAGTCTATAGTCTAGTCTATAGTCTAGTCTATAGTCTAGTCTATAGTCTAGTCTATAGTCTAGTCTATAGTCTAGTCTATAGTCTAGTCTATAGTCTAGTCTATAGTCTAGTCTATAGTAAGTCTAGTTATAGTCTAGTATATAGTCTAGTCTAGTCTATAGTCTAGTCATAGCTAGTCTATAGTCTAGTCTATAGCTAGTCTATGTCTAGTCTATAGTCTAGTCTATAGTCTAGTCTATAGTCTAGTTATAGTCTAGTCTATAGTCTAGTCTATAGTCCTAGTCTCTAATCTAGTCTCTAGTCTAGTCTATAGTCTAGTCTATAGTCTAGTCTATAGTCTAGTCTATAGTCTAGTCTATAGTCTAGTCTATAGTCTAGTCTATAGTCTAGTCTATAGTCTAGTCTATAGTTAGTCTATAGTCTAGTCTATAGTCTAGTCTATAGTCTAGTCTATAGTCTAGTCTATAGTCTAGTCTATAGTCTAGTCTATAGTCTAGTCTATAGTCTAGTCTATAGTCTAGTCTATAGTCTAGTCTATAGTCTAGTCTATAGTCTAGTCTATAGTCTAGTCTATAGTCTAGTCTATAGTCTAGTCTATAGTCTAGTCTATAGTCTAGTCTATAGTCTAGTCTATAGTCTAGTCTATAGTCTAGTCTATAGTCTAGTCTATAGTCTAGTCTATAGTCTAGTCTATAGTCTAGTCTATAGTCTAGTCTATAGTCCAGTCTATAGTCTAGTCTATAGTCTAGTCTATAGTCTAGTCTATAGTCCAGTCTATAGTCTAGTCTATAGTCTAGTCTATAGTCGAGTCTATAGTCTAGTCTATAGTCTAGTATATAGTCTAGTCTATAGTCTAGTCTATAGTCTAGTATATAGTCTAGTCTATAGTCTAGTCTATAGTCTAGTCTATAGTCTAGTCTATAGTCTAGTCTATAGTCTAGTCTATAGTCTAGTCTATAGTCTAGTCTATAGTCTAGTCTATAGTCTAGTCTATAGTCTAGTCTATAGTCTAGTCTATAGTCTAGTCTATAGTCTATAGTCTATAGTCTAGTCTATAGTCTAGTCTATAGTCTAGTCTATAGTCTAGTCTATAGTCTAGTCTATAGTCTAGTCTATAGTCTAGTCTATAGTCTAGTCTATAGTCTAGTCTATAGTCTAGTCTATAGTCTAGTCTATAGTCTAGTCTATAGTCTAGTCTATAGTCTAGTCTATAGTCTAGTCTATAGTCTAGTCTATAGTCTAGTCTATAGTCTAGTCTATAGTCTAGTCTATAGTCTAGTCTATAGTCTAGTCTATAGTCTAGTCTATAGTCTAGTCTATAGTCTAGTCTATAGTCTAGTCTATAGTCTAGTCTATAGTCTAGTCTATAGTCTAGTCTATGTCTATATAGTCTAGTCTATAGTCTAGTCTATAGTCTAGTCTATAGTCTAGTCTATAGTCTAGTCTATAGTCTAGTCTATAGTCTAGTCTATAGTCTAGTCTATAGTCTAGTCTATAGTCTAGTCTATAGTCTAGTCTATAGTCTAGTCTATAGTCTAGTCTATAGTCTAGTCTATAGTCTAGTCTATAGTCTAGTCTATAGTCTAGTCTATAGTCTAGTCTATAGTCTAGTCTATAGTCTAGTCTATAGTCTAGTCTATAGTCTAGTCTATAGTCTAGTCTATAGTCTAGTCTATAGTCTAGTCTATAGTCTAGTCTATAGTCTAGTCTATAGTCTAGTCTATAGTCTAGTCTATAGTCTAGTCTATAGTCTAGTCTATAGTCTAGTCTATAGTCTAGTCTATAGTCTAGTCTATAGTCTAGTCTATAGTCTAGTCTATAGTCTAGTCTATAGTCTAGTCTATAGTCTAGTCTATAGTCTAGTCTATAGTCTAGTCTATAGTCTAGTCTATAGTCTAGTCTATAGTCTAGTCTATAGTCTAGTCTATAGTCTAGTCTATAGTCTAGTCTATAGTCTAGTCTATAGTCTAGTCTATAGTCTAGCCTATAGTCTAGTCTATAGTCTAGTCTATAGTCTAGTCTATAGTCTAGTCCTATAGTCTAGTCTATAGTCTAGTCTATAGTCTAGTCTATAGTCTAGCTTATAGTCTAGCTATAGTCTAGTCTATAGTCTAGTCTATAGTATAGTCTATAGTTCTAGTCTATAGTCTAGTCTATAGTCTAGTCGATAGTCTAGTCTATAGTCTAGTCTATAGTCTAGTCTATAGTCTAGTCTTTCTATAGTCTAGTCTATAGTCTAGTCTATAGTCTAGTCTATAGTCTAGTCTATAGTCTAGTCTATAGTCTAGTCTATAGTCTAGTTATAGTCTAGTCTATAGTCTAGTCTATAGTCTAGTCTATAGTCTAGTTTATAGTCTAGTCTATAGTCTAGTCTATAGTCTAGTCTATAGTCTAGTCTATAGTCTAGTCTATAGTCTAGTCTATAGTCTAGTCTATAGTCTAGTCTATAGTCTAGTCTATAGTCTAGTCTATAGTCTAGTCTATAGTCTAGTTTATAGTCTAGTCTATAGTCTAGTCTATAGTCTAGTCTATATAGTCTAGTTTATAGACTAGTCTATAGTCTAGTCTATAGTCTAGTCTGTAGTCTATAGTCTATTCTTAAGTCTAGTCTATAGTCTAAGCTATAGGCCAGACTATGGTCTGGTCTTTAGTCTAGTCAATAGTCTAGTCTATAGTGTGGCTTTTAGTCTAGTCTATAATCTAGTCTAAAGTCTAGGGCATTGCAAATTGTAGCCTGATTATTAGCTAAACATCTGCTGGTTAGGTAGGGACAGACATAGTTAAATCGTGTCAGAGAGTGATATATTTTCTCGTCACAAATTATATTTCAAGCTTTACTATTGTAATGTAGGGTACCATACGTATAAATAATACAATAATTCTGATAACGTCTCATACAACGAAGGGCAGGTTTACTAAACATCCGCTACAGAAACTGTCGTAAATATGAGAGAGTATATGAGTTTGGCTTGTTTTTCGCTTAATGAATTAAACGAATGTCCAGCAAATTTCCTGGGAATGTGACATCTGTCAATGTAGTGGTAGTTTTAATACTGACACACATCTACTATCACGTAAATTAAATGAAATAATAGTTTGAAAAAATAGATTTTGTTAACAACGACATGAAAGTGTAGTACAAATTGAATGATGGTGAAGTTATATTAATATTGTAATGACAGCTCATTACCATATTTATTAGAGAGTAATACATATGGCAAAGTAATACTAATAATGAACATTTTGTAAGAAATATTTTTTATATTAAAACTTCTTAAAACTTCTTGAATTGGACAATTTGTATAGTATTAACTATTCGTTTCTTAGTTCCCTCTTCCACACAATTTTGTTTTGTAAAAACTTCATTCTTTTTGCGCATTTCTATTCAATTAAAAAAATAAAACGAAATATTCCGCCAATTTCATGTGTAAGTTTGCATTTGTGTGAATTTCTAGGTAATAAATGAATTTTGATTCGTTTTGCAATTTTTTTCCATTTTTATAATTTCCAATTCACTTTTTTCTGCTGACAGAGACACTTTACTGTGTGCAATTTGTTGTTGTTGCTGTTTTTATTACAACTTTTTATATTTTTTTCTGTGGCGAAAAAAATGCTGCATGTAGAAAACGCAGCACACGATAAAAAAGCAACAATATTTTTTGAAACGTACAAGTACCGTTGATGGTATACAAGACATGGGTGAGGTCAATAAACGTAATATACAACAACAACAGCAGCGATAAAAACAACAAA